TCGGTTGGTAGCTATATTATTGTTTAAATAATAAGTAATCATTAGTACGGAGTAATATTTATGTCCACGGCTTTTCTACTAGTAACATAAATGAAATTTTTCATGTAATAATCATGATACAAATAGTAATCATAGAAAAAGTAAATGCTTGAAATACATGAGTAATTTTTAACAAAATTCAAAATGTACTTTAGAATTAGATAGACTATAGATAGAACATATGTGTGTGTGGTCGTTATAATGTGTTGGGTTAAGGGCCCAAGCCGAGGTCCGGCCCACTAACCCACTTTGCCGGACGAACGTCCAGTTGGAAACACTAGGCCAACCCACAGGCCCATGTTCCTTGGGGATGGGCGAACGTCTGGGGTTGGGAGTTCAGGCCCAGCGGCCCCTCCCGACGAGCGTCAACGCAGGGACGAGGAGCAGGGCCACGGGCCACCAGGGATGACGACGAACGTCCCCATGGCAAGCCTATAGTCATCGGAGGAAGCCCAGTCCACATGGTAAATACCCGCAAGGCCAGGAGACGAACAGCCGGTATCTCCTGAGGGTCCCTTGGGGCGATCCAACTCATTTCCCGGGCGGACGAACGTCCCCACCGATTGGGCGAGAAACCAAGATTCTGGCGGGAAGTGCATTTAATGCTGGAGATTTGGTAGTTGGACACCAGCGGTCCACAGGCTGCCACGTCAGTACAGCCACCTGCCCATTGGTGGGTATAAATAGAAGCATTTATTTCATTGTAAAGGGTTGGCAACTTTCTATCCTTAGCATCTAGCTATTGTATTCTTACTCGGAGCATTTCTACTGCCTTGTAAGACGAACGGCCGACGTGCCCTTTTAGCAAGTAGATTGTACTTAGGGGAGTTATTACGAAGATTAATAATACCTATTTACATTGCCTGCTATTTCTCTTGTTTCCTGATCCATCTGAAAGTTGTTGGGCTAGATATCCACACACTCACTCCACTCGAAATCTTTGGGCTTACGTGTTGGGTCCAAGGGTTGAAGGAATAAACCTCAACACTGGCGCCGTCTGTGGGAAACTGAGCAAAAAGTTTCCAGAAACTCTCCCAAACAGCTACTAAGTCTACCTACAGCAAACACGATGTCAGGAAGCAACAACCAGCATGATCTCTCCGAGCGTCTGGAGTCGAGCCGCCGGAATCGCGGCCAGAACTCGGAACTATCCGCAACAATATGGACCTTTGGAGGAAACGGGGGTATCACTGACCTCATTCCCCTGGAGGCCAGGCAGGATCCCCGCCTCATGCGGGAACTCGCAGACACCATGCGTCGCATGGCAGACGAGCGGGAGGCCCGAGATCAGGTGTACTCTGCAAGCACTCAGCGAACACCCCTCTCTCCCATACGCCGCATGCAGTCGTATGATGATACGACGGGATCCAGTGACCACCGGCCCTCAGTCCACGAGCGGCTAGGTGGGGGTTCAGGCTCCCGTGAAACGGGAGGGCGGACCAGGGTCAGCATCGCTGCATCCAGAGCTCTCACGCCATCGGTTCCTCGCCAGATCCCGCGGGGAGACGAGACCCCAAGGGTCAACACCGTTGGACGACGTTTCCAACGGCGAGGTGCGCAGATCTTCAGGCGGCCGCACGATGCTGTGGCCACTCAGCGGAACGCCACCCCCCGAAGCCGCGCCCCCTGGGTCCCCCGGAAGGGCCGCACAGGACGCACGGCTGGAAGCCATGGAGAGGCAGATAGCCGAGATGGGTAGGCGGGCAGACGTCGGCCCGGCCACACCCTCTTTCTCTCTCACATCACCCTTTACTCCACGAGTGATGAGCGTCGAAATTCCCCGGGACTACAGGCCCCCGGGTAACTTGGTATATAATGGGGCGGGCGACCCTAAGGCCCATCTGATAAGCTACCAAGGGAACCTGTCCATGCTGGGAGCATCGGACGAGGCCATCTGTAGATTGTTCTTCAGCACCCTCAGGGGGCCGGCGCAAGAATGGTTCGGCCAGTTGAGGCCGGGCACCATCGACTCATATGAACAGCTCTCCCGCCAGTTCATGGCACAATTTGCTGCCAGTACCACCCCCAGGAAGGACGTCACGGCCCTCGCCCACATCAAGCAAGGGCGGGACGAACCGCTGGCTAGGTTCCTGGTAAGGTGGAGGGACGAGGTCCTGCAGGTCGACGATCTGGACGAACGTCTGGCCACCAACATGTTCACCAGTGCGCTGGCCACAGGGGATCTATACCGGGACCTAAGGAGGAATCCCGGCACCAGCTACACCGAGGTTCTGGCTCGGGCCCAGAAGTATGCCTCCATTGAGGAGGAGATCAGGCAGCGGGACGGAGTTCCCGCGGCCCAGCCAAGGAAGATGGCGGACAGACTCGGACCCCGACCGGGACCCGGGCCCTCACCCCCAAACAAAAAGAAAAAGGTGGACGGGGCAATGGTCCCTTGGAAGGCTCCGTCCGGAGACAGTCAAACGCGGCCGGACGACCGCTATTTTCCCTTGGCCTACCCAGTGAGCCAAATCTTCGAGGCCATCAAGGACAAGGGCCTCCTGGTGGAGCCCCAAGACATGAAGAAGCATATGGGGCACGACCAATCGGCCTACTGTGAATACCATCAGAGGGCCGGCCACCTGACAGACAATTGCAGCCAATTGAGGAGGGCAATTGACGAGCTGATCCGCCAGGGGTACTTGGGCGAATTCGCCCAGCTGCTGAACAAAAACAACCAGCAGAAGCCGAACCCCAGGCACAGGACATGGCGCCGCGACGACCGGCGCGAGGCGGAACCTCAGGACGTGGATTATCGGAGTGCAGATAAACGTCCGGAGGGATCCCTTGGCCCGAAGGGCAAAAAGAAGAAGATAGAGATCAAGGTGATCTTCGGGGGCGCTGAGACAGGGGATACACCCGCCGAGCGGAAAAAATTTGAGAGATCACTCTATGTGGGTTCCGTATCAGCATCCCCCGCTAAGCGCAACAAAATCGAGGCGATCACCTTCGGTCCCGCCGATCTGCCAATGTCGCCAGCGCCGCACAGAGACGAGCTGGTGATCAGCATGGACGTGAACGATGCCATCGTCCGCCGCGTCCTTGTGGATACCGGGAGCAGTGTGAACGTCCTCTACTGGGAGGCTTTCGAGGGAATGAAGCTCAGGAAGGACATGCTGCACCCTCTGCGCACCCCGCTGTCCGGCTTCACCGGGGATTGTATTGACGCTGAGGGCACCATCATCTTGCCAGTGGAGGTCGGCGACGGCCCCCACACCGCCCGGATCGGAATGACGTTCGTCGTGGTCCGCCTGAAGTGCGCCCACAACGCCATTTTGGGCCGACCCGGCCTAGAAGACTTGGGGGCCATATGCTCCGTGCGGCACTCATGCATCAAATTCCCCACCGACACTGGAGTGGGAGTAGCACGTACGGACCCGCATATGGCCAGAGCCTGCTACACGAAGGCCATGGAGAAGCTCAACGAGCGGGAGGCTCGGGTCAACAGCATCTCCGAGAAGGCCAAACAAGCCGACTTGGACGCTCATCTGGAACCAGCAACTCTGCTGGAGGAAATTGAACTCGACGATCCGACGGACAGGAAGGTGTCCATTGGTGCGGATCTAGAGCCGGAAATCAGGGCAGGGGTCATAGCCGTCCTCCGGAGGTTCAGGGTCTTGTTCGCCAGAGGGCCGGAGGACATGCCGGGCATCGACCCCAACCTCATATGCCATAAACTCGTCGTGCGGCCGGATGCCAAGCCTATACAACAGAAGAAGAGATATATGGCGGCCGACCGACGCGATTTCATCAGGAAGGAAACAGCAACTCTCCTCAGCATCAAACATATCCGGCCGGTCATCCACGTGGAGTGGTTGGCCAACGTGGTACTAGCCCTGTAACACCGGACCCGAATTTTACCCAGATAAATTTTTTTTCGTAAAGTACTTGGTTAAAGAAGGTAAAACAAGACTAAGGGTAGTCTTGATAAATGAGGAAGTAAAAATTTTGTCTTAAATTAATAAAGGGTTATTAATTTAGATGTGGGGAGCACTCATGATATTTCGAGTTTATAAAATATTAATGTTTATCAAAATGATACTATTATGACAGTAGGAATGGGTCGTGGACCCCATTGTTATAAAGAGCGACAACTGGACGGCCGAGCGGGCCAGGGCCACTATTCGATAGTGGGGAGTCCTTAACTATCGGACTGTCAATAATTCGTAGGACTACGAATTTATAACAGAAGAAATATAAACATTCTAAGAAACCAAAATAATGGGATGAATAATATTGATTAACTTGGTATATTAAAGGATGGTACTTTTGGAGGACCCTACCTTAAAGATATTTTATTTTGGGAACAAACAGATAAGATTTTATCTGTTTTTACATTTGGGATCACTTAAAAAGATGTGTAGCATTTTATTAAAATGTCACAAAATATCAATACACATATTGAGTCATGAGAAATTGCTAATGAATTTACGAGATGACGCGTTCTCATTTTTACTGTTACTTGAACAGTAAAATACACGTTGGGCCCACACGTGAGTGACGACCATCCGATATTTACGGACCACATATTATATTCATCTTGGTCTAGATAATATTTATATGAGTTTGTAAATAAATTGAGCCATAAAGTTGGCCTTTCGATCAAACGAGGTCCCATTACCGGTATAGGTAATTAAACAGATAACAGCCCGAAATTAATTTCGGCGACCACGAAATTAAAGTGGGATAATATATATTCATTCTAAAGGCCAATATTAATTGGAAGAATGATATATATTTTATTTGACCCGATAAAATGAAATTTAATTAAAACAGTCCAGAAAATACAACTTTCGGGGCCGAATGTACACTTCGGGACTTAAAGGGATGACCTCCCACATGGGTGGGGGCCACCCCACGATTTTGTCAATCAAATAACTCTGGATTGACTCATGTTGGGGCTGTGAGACAAAGGAAAATGGGGGAAGGACCAAACATAATGTGCAATGGGACCATTTCCCATATAATTGAAGAACAAAGCCAAAAAAGCTTATCATCTCACCCAACCACTCCCAAAAATTCGGCCACACACTCTCAAGGAGGAGGAGGAGCTCTGAAAATATCATCCTCCATAGCCATGAACCGAGCTCATGTTTGAAGGAGGTTCAAGGAAGAAGAAAAGCTTGGAAAAGAAGAGAAAAACTTAGTAAAATTAAGGTAATGACTTCATTAGTATTTTCCTCCTTCATTTTAATCTCATATGATTTTATAAATCATATGATAGACTTTTAAAATTGTTCTACACTTCTAGAGGTGTAGAATGAGGGTTTGAAAGATTAAGTTTAACCACGAACGGAGTTATGACCGGAGTAAGACCGGTTCACCGGAAAACACCTTCTTGGAAGGTTTTGACGTTTATACCACTTTTGGTTGTGAAACCTTGTTAGGAATTTTACCAAGGTATTCTAGACTTCTCAAGGAACCTAGGAGTGGCCGGAAAGTCGCCGGAGCCGCCGGAGTTTTCGCCGGAAAATTCAAAAGTCACCGGAGTTCAAACAAAGAAGATAAAAGCTTGCTAGCGCCATTTCAAGGTGAGTGGACGACTACGTGTCTTGTAACTCTTGGGTCAAACGTGGGATTACCTAAATAAAATCCTTATCATGATTTGAGAAATGATTAAATGGATTAAAATGCATGATTAGTCATGGTGAATATGAATTATGGAAATATTACATGGTTAAGGAATAAGAGATTTAATTGTGGATTAATCATGAATATATTATTGTCAAATGTATAAAAAATGCATACATGGACTATGTATGATATAACTAGAGTAATCTAGTATGTGAATATGTATAAGAATGTTTAAAAGTGTTTAAACATGTGATTAGCTATAATGATTATAAGTCATGTGAAAATGGCATGATTAATGAGTAAAAGAATTATTAATATTTTGATGAACGATAATCATGGATGATTTGGTTAAGGTAATTCAAGATGGTATTCTTGAAGGATTTAAGTACATAATCATATGTGTCATTAAATTAAATCTAGTTTGAAGAATAAACTAGAATGAAATATATAAATGATTAATAAGTATGAAGTACTTATTAATAGTTATGAGAAGACGGCTATATGCTTTATAACTTTTGATTGATGCATGAGATTACCTAAAGTAATCAAGTATATATATATTTTATGGAATGACTAAAGTTAATCAAGTATTGGCTTATGCCATGGTTGTATATAAAACATAGTTGAAAGGCATGTTTTGTATGTTTGATGATTAAAATGTGATAACTTATTATGTACAATGCTCCAAGGATCCAAATTGGTATTTTTGGATCAAGGACGTCAAGGAGTACATGCGTATAAAATTTCGCGTTAATCGGACTCCGTTTGGGCGGTCAAACGGGCGTTGACCGCCGAGGCAAAGGTGATACCCGACCGGGTATGGGTACATACCCGACCGGGTATTGATTAAAAATGGCTCCAGAAGCCACTGTCCTACTAGACCCGACCGGGTAAGGGTATGGACCCGACCGGGTCTCAAGTAAAATCAGTTCCAGGGGCTTCTGCCCCGACCTACCCGACCGGGTGAGATTGGATACCCGACCGGGTATTGGACTAGGCCCAAAACAGGCAGTTTTGAGCAGGTTAACGTGGGTCGTTCGGGTGGGACCCGTCCACATTGGTTGCTAAGGCTTCAAATACGGTTTAAACGCTAAGACTTGGACTAGTCATTAGTAAAGAAATCATAGACCACGACCGGGCGAGGTACGTGGTAGATTATACATGGCGGGTGAATACCCGGGACCGAGTAAGGTTGGGTAAAACTCTGTAGGACCAGGAGGAGTCCTTTATACTCAAATGTTAACAAGGGCCCGTGTAGTCCTTGAGGTGTGTTAACCTCCAGCAAATTACACATAGGTAACAAGGGCAGATGCAGTCCTTGAGGTGTGTTAACCTCCATCAAATTGCATATAGGTAACAAGGGCCCGTGTAGTCCTTGAGGTGTGTTAACCTCCAGCAAATTACACATAGGTAACAAGGGCAAATGCAGTCCTTGAGGTGTGTTAACCTCCATCAAATTGCATATAGGTAACAAGGGCCCGTGTAGTCCTTGAGGTGTGTTAACCTCCAGCAAATTACACATAGGTAACAAGGGCAAATGCAGTCCTTGAGGTGTGGTATCCTCCATCAAATTGCATACAGGTAACAAGGGCCCGTGTAGTCCTTGAGGTGTGGTATCCTCCAGCAAATTACACATAGGTAACAAGGGCAAGTGCAGTCCTTGAGGTGTGGTATCCTCCATCAAATTGCACATAGGTAATAAGGGCCCGTGTAGTCCTTGAGGTGTGTTAACCTCCAGCAAATTACACGTAGGATGAGGGTGTATGCGTACTCCTCAAGGCGGGGTTAGCCCCGGGAATGTAAACTATGATTGTAAGGGCGGTTAGTCCTCGAGGTAGGTGAACCTCAAGGTAATGATTTTAAATGATTAAACGTGCTTGATCGGGAACGAGTTTCCGATAGGATATTTTCCTTGGTCTAGGAATTGATTTAAACCATGTCCGTGATATGGGAGTCCGAAGGGCCCCCACAGTAATTATATTTTGATATCGGGTGAGTCAGCCTGCGGGTGACTCCACTCGAGGGTAAGACATGGGAAGGGTGAATTTAATAAGGCTGTTATGCCTAAATGATTTGAAAGACAAATGGGCCCACGGGCCAGATATTTTACTCATATGTATATATGTATACATTTTGTTTTGAAAAGGGGTAGCTAAGAGTTATGCCCATAATTATACTATCACCCTATTTTGAGGGTCTCACGTGAGAAACGTTAGTTACATTACATACAGTTTGCCCTCACCAGTACTTTTCTGTAGTACTGATCCCTCGGGGGAACCACCCTTTCAGGTTGAAGCTAGAGCTTACTTCCTGCACCCGTTGCTCGGGAGATCGATGGAGAGAAGACGTGGTTCGTGCTTCCTCTCGTTCCATTTTTAAATAATTAAATAATGCTCATGGAACTATTTTGACTTATAAATTAATGGAGCCTGCGAGCTCTTGTTTTACCCTTGTGTGGGTTCTTATTAAAAAACTTATATTCCGCTATGTGTTTGATTGTATGTTGATGTTGTTATGTATGTTTACTAATCGGTTTTGGCATATGTATCTATCGGACGTCTTGTGCAATTCGGTAAGGATGAACTGCGGTTATTCTTATTGGGTTGTACGACGGTTGTCCACGTGGCACAGACGCGGTCTGGGGCGTGACAATTAAGTGGTATCAGAGCCAAACGATTTCTAAACTATATAGTTAACCTCTCAACATAGTTTCTATCAAAACAGTTTTCAATGAAAAACCATGAGCATAAGTTTTGTACTTTAAGAGCATTTGGTTATCGAGTTGCAAGGTCTCTGGTTGTTAAGATGGGCCCCTTAACAATTGGTATGGCAGTGACTTGAGCCAAGTGGTGTCTTGAGTACGTTTCTGTCAATTGACATTCAAACGAGTCCAACGACTCATTCCAATATATTCTTTCAGGAATGGGTGGTAGTGATAGGGCGGTTCGAGGAAATCCGAGAGGGCGCGGACCGGGGATAGCCGGGCAAGCCAATCGGGGGATATCAAGGTCGCGTAAAAGGCGAGGTATGGGCAACCAAGGCCCACAAACACGAGCCGCGATGGCTGATCACAATGTGACTGAATTCGAGTCGTGGAACTCGGAGGATGACTCAACTTATCAGCCTGAAAGTGAGTCTGAAGAAACTTCTTTTGAAGGAAATGATGGAGAGGATATGCACAGTATTCCTCCTGATCAGATTAGTGAGATGTACCGATGGTACCAGCGGGAAAGGGAAAGGCAACGACAGAGATCCCAGATGGGACATGTCAGAGACGACACCTCTCGCAGGAGGGGTCGGGGTGCTCATAGAGTACAGGTTAAGACAATTAGAGATTCTGATGGTGAAGGACCATTCATTAAGATCTCAAAGTACCTCAAAGAGGCTAGGGCCTTGGGGTGCAAACCGTTTGATGGGACGGGGGATATCTCGGAAGCGGCCGAGTGGATAAAAAGGTTAAATGATGCAGCCGATGACATGCAAGTGGTCCCTGATCGGAAGTTAAGGGTAGCCACTAGATTGTTGGAAGGTTTAGCTTCTACTTGGTGGGAAGGCATCAAGGGTAAGTTCGACGGAGTTGTCACGTGGGACAACTTCGAGCAATCATTCTATGAACAGTTTTATACCTCTTTCGAAGTTAATCGAAAGAGGAGGGAATATACAAATCTCAAGCAGGGCAATGAGTTTACGGTAAAGCAATTAGAACAAAGGTTCCGACATTTGGCAAGGTTCTTGCCTGAATATGCCACCAATGAGGATCGAATGGCGAACCATTTTTGGAATGCACTGAATTTGGAGGTACGCGAAAGGGCGACCTATCAATTCAACATGACTTTTAGTCAAGTAGTAGCCCAGGGTCTCCAGGGGGAGGAGCTTTGGGAGGAAAGGCAAGCAAGGGGTGCTAAGGAAGCACAAGAAAGGGATCAGATGATCAATCATCCTCTGCGACGAGAGAGGAAGTATGACTTTCAAAACGAGGGGGACTCTAGCAAGTTAGTTCCATTTTCAAAAGGGAGCAAGGACTGGGTAAGTCAAAGCTCAAGCACTCGGGGCACGGGAGCACCCAAATGTGAGAATTGTAGGCGAAAGCACTACGGGATATGTCTAGAACCATCTAGATGCTACTTTTGTGGAGAAACGGGCCACATAAAGGCTCTTTGTCCTCAACGTGTACGGGGAGGAGCCTTGGGGGCCCACAGGGGAGTCACGGAGGTTGCAAACCCAACAGGGATTGTTTCAAATGTTTTACCATCCACCAATCGGGGAAGAACTCGTTCGTGAAGGCAATGAATGACAGAAGCCATTTGTGGGAATGACTATGACATAAGGTAATATTAATTTAAACCCTTCATTTCAAAAAAAATTGATGTTGAAAATGGTTAGCTTCAATTAATGAAGGGGGGAGTGTTTCTCAAGGTTAAGACGCTAATTTCGGGGACGAAATTCCTGTAAGGGGGGGTGAACTTGTAACACCGGACCCGAATTTTACCCAGATAAATTTTTTTTCGTAAAGTACTTGGTTAAAGAAGGTAAAACAAGACTAAGGGTAGTCTTGATAAATGAGGAAGTAAAAATTTTGTCTTAAATTAATAAAGGGTTATTAATTTAGATGTGGGGAGCACTCATGATATTTCGAGTTTATAAAATATTAATGTTTATCAAAATGATACTATTATGATAGTAGGAATGGGTCGTGGACCCCATTGTTATAAAGAGCGACAACTGGACGGCCGAGCGGGCCAGGGCCACTATTCGATAGTGGGGAGTCCTTAACTATCGGACTGTCAATAATTCGTAGGACTACGAATTTATAACAGAAGAAATATAAACATTCTAAGAAACCAAAATAATGGGATGAATAATATTGATTAACTTGGTATATTAAAGGATGGTACTTTTGGAGGACCCTACCTTAAAGATATTTTATTTTGGGAACAAACAGATAAGATTTTATCTGTTTTTACATTTGGGATCACTTAAAAAGATGTGTAGCATTTTATTAAAATGTCACAAAATATCAATACACATATTGAGTCATGAGAAATTGCTAATGAATTTACGAGATGACGCGTTCTCATTTTTACTGTTACTTGAACAGTAAAATACACGTTGGGCCCACACGTGAGTGACGACCATCCGATATTTACGGACCACATATTATATTCATCTTGGTCTAGATAATATTTATATGAGTTTGTAAATAAATTGAGCCATAAAGTTGGCCTTTCGATCAAACGAGGTCCCATTACCGGTATAGGTAATTAAACAGATAACAGCCCGAAATTAATTTCGGCGACCACGAAATTAAAGTGGGATAATATATATTCATTCTAAAGGCCAATATTAATTGGAAGAATGATATATATTTTATTTGACCCGATAAAATGAAATTTAATTAAAACAGTCCAGAAAATACAACTTTCGGGGCCGAATGTACACTTCGGGACTTAAAGGGATGACCTCCCACATGGGTGGGGGCCACCCCACGATTTTGTCAATCAAATAACTCTGGATTGACTCATGTTGGGGCTGTGAGACAAAGGAAAATGGGGGAAGGACCAAACATAATGTGCAATGGGACCATTTCCCATATAATTGAAGAACAAAGCCAAAAAAGCTTATCATCTCACCCAACCACTCCCAAAAATTCGGCCACACACTCTCAAGGAGGAGGAGGAGCTCTGAAAATATCATCCTCCATAGCCATGAACCGAGCTCATGTTTGAAGGAGGTTCAAGGAAGAAGAAAAGCTTGGAAAAGAAGAGAAAAACTTAGTAAAATTAAGGTAATGACTTCATTAGTATTTTCCTCCTTCATTTTAATCTCATATGATTTTATAAATCATATGATAGACTTTTAAAATTGTTCTACACTTCTAGAGGTGTAGAATGAGGGTTTGAAAGATTAAGTTTAACCACGAACGGAGTTATGACCGGAGTAAGACCGGTTCACCGGAAAACACCTTCTTGGAAGGTTTTGACGTTTATACCACTTTTGGTTGTGAAACCTTGTTAGGAATTTTACCAAGGTATTCTAGACTTCTCAAGGAACCTAGGAGTGGCCGGAAAGTCGCCGGAGCCGCCGGAGTTTTCGCCGGAAAATTCAAAAGTCACCGGAGTTCAAACAAAGAAGATAAAAGCTTGCTAGCGCCATTTCAAGGTGAGTGGACGACTACGTGTCTTGTAACTCTTGGGTCAAACGTGGGATTACCTAAATAAAATCCTTATCATGATTTGAGAAATGATTAAATGGATTAAAATGCATGATTAGTCATGGTGAATATGAATTATGGAAATATTACATGGTTAAGGAATAAGAGATTTAATTGTGGATTAATCATGAATATATTATTGTCAAATGTATAAAAAATGCATACATGGACTATGTATGATATAACTAGAGTAATCTAGTATGTGAATATGTATAAGAATGTTTAAAAGTGTTTAAACATGTGATTAGCTATAATGATTATAAGTCATGTGAAAATGGCATGATTAATGAGTAAAAGAATTATTAATATTTTGATGAACGATAATCATGGATGATTTGGTTAAGGTAATTCAAGATGGTATTCTTGAAGGATTTAAGTACATAATCATATGTGTCATTAAATTAAATCTAGTTTGAAGAATAAACTAGAATGAAATATATAAATGATTAATAAGTATGAAGTACTTATTAATAGTTATGAGAAGACGGCTATATGCTTTATAACTTTTGATTGATGCATGAGATTACCTAAAGTAATCAAGTATATATATATTTTATGGAATGACTAAAGTTAATCAAGTATTGGCTTATGCCATGGTTGTATATAAAACATAGTTGAAAGGCATGTTTTGTATGTTTGATGATTAAAATGTGATAACTTATTATGTACAATGCTCCAAGGATCCAAATTGGTATTTTTGGATCAAGGACGTCAAGGAGTACATGCGTATAAAATTTCGCGTTAATCGGACTCCGTTTGGGCGGTCAAACGGGCGTTGACCGCCGAGGCAAAGGTGATACCCGACCGGGTATGGGTACATACCCGACCGGGTATTGATTAAAAATGGCTCCAGAAGCCACTGTCCTACTAGACCCGACCGGGTAAGGGTATGGACCCGACCGGGTCTCAAGTAAAATCAGTTCCAGGGGCTTCTGCCCCGACCTACCCGACCGGGTGAGATTGGATACCCGACCGGGTATTGGACTAGGCCCAAAACAGGCAGTTTTGAGCAGGTTAACGTGGGTCGTTCGGGTGGGACCCGTCCACATTGGTTGCTAAGGCTTCAAATACGGTTTAAACGCTAAGACTTGGACTAGTCATTAGTAAAGAAATCATAGACCACGACCGGGCGAGGTACGTGGTAGATTATACATGGCGGGTGAATACCCGGGACCGAGTAAGGTTGGGTAAAACTCTGTAGGACCAGGAGGAGTCCTTTATACTCAAATGTTAACAAGGGCCCGTGTAGTCCTTGAGGTGTGTTAACCTCCAGCAAATTACACATAGGTAACAAGGGCAGATGCAGTCCTTGAGGTGTGTTAACCTCCATCAAATTGCATATAGGTAACAAGGGCCCGTGTAGTCCTTGAGGTGTGTTAACCTCCAGCAAATTACACATAGGTAACAAGGGCAAATGCAGTCCTTGAGGTGTGTTAACCTCCATCAAATTGCATATAGGTAACAAGGGCCCGTGTAGTCCTTGAGGTGTGTTAACCTCCAGCAAATTACACATAGGTAACAAGGGCAAATGCAGTCCTTGAGGTGTGGTATCCTCCATCAAATTGCATACAGGTAACAAGGGCCCGTGTAGTCCTTGAGGTGTGGTATCCTCCAGCAAATTACACATAGGTAACAAGGGCAAGTGCAGTCCTTGAGGTGTGGTATCCTCCATCAAATTGCACATAGGTAATAAGGGCCCGTGTAGTCCTTGAGGTGTGTTAACCTCCAGCAAATTACACGTAGGATGAGGGTGTATGCGTACTCCTCAAGGCGGGGTTAGCCCCGGGAATGTAAACTATGATTGTAAGGGCGATTAGTCCTCGAGGTAGGTGAACCTCAAGGTAATGATTTTAAATGATTAAACGTGCTTGATCGGGAACGAGTTTCCGATAGGATATTTTCCTTGGTCTAGGAATTGATTTAAACCATGTCCGTGATATGGGAGTCCGAAGGGCCCCCACAGTAATTATATTTTGATATCGGGTGAGTCAGCCTGCGGGTGACTCCACTCGAGGGTAAGACATGGGAAGGGTGAATTTAATAAGGCTGTTATGCCTAAATGATTTGAAAGACAAATGGGCCCACGGGCCAGATATTTTACTCATATGTATATATGTATACATTTTGTTTTGAAAAGGGGTAGCTAAGAGTTATGCCCATAATTATACTATCACCCTATTTTGAGGGTCTCACGTGAGAAACGTTAGTTACATTACATACAGTTTGCCCTCACCAGTACTTTTCTGTAGTACTGATCCCTCGGGGGAACCACCCTTTCAGGTTGAAGCTAGAGCTTACTTCCTGCACCCGTTGCTCGGGAGATCGATGGAGAGAAGACGTGGTTCGTGCTTCCTCTCGTTCCATTTTTAAATAATTAAATAATGCTCATGGAACTATTTTGACTTATAAATTAATGGAGCCTGCGAGCTCTTGTTTTACCCTTGTGTGGGTTCTTATTAAAAAACTTATATTCCGCTATGTGTTTGATTGTATGTTGATGTTGTTATGTATGTTTACTAATCGGTTTTGGCATATGTATCTATCGGACGTCTTGTGCAATTCGGTAAGGATGAACTGCGGTTATTCTTATTGGGTTGTACGACGGTTGTCCACGTGGCACAGACGCGGTCTGGGGCGTGACAAGCCCCAAAGGGCGACACTTGGCGGATGTGCGTCGATTACTCGGACCTCAACAAAGCTTGTCCGATGGACCCTTACCCTGTCCCGAGGATCGACCTGCTGGTGGATGAAACAGCAGGCTGTGAGCTGCTCAGCTTCATGGACGCATTCAGGGGCTACCATCAGGTGTTCATGCACCCCGATGATGCCGAAAAAACGGCGTTCGTTACGGCGGACGGCGTGTATTGCTACATCGTCATGCCGTTCGGCCTGAGGAACGCCATGGCTACTTTTCAGAGGATGATTGGGATGTTGTTCAAGGACGTACTTGGAAAGACAATGGAAGCTTACGTGGATGACATCCTGATCAAAAGCAAGAAAAAGGAGGATCATGTCCAGGACATGGAGAGGGTCTTCAGCATCATGGAGAAGGCCAGCATGAGGCTCAATCCGAAGAAATGTGCTTTCGCCGTCAGGGGCGGCAAGTTCCTCGGCTACATGATGAGCGAGCGGGGGATCGAGCCTAACCCGGAGAAGGTGAAGGCGATTATGGACATGGAGGCCCCAAAGAACCTAAAAGACGTGCAGCGGCTCACCGGGCGTCTGGCGGCCCTGAGCAGATTCTTATCCAAGCTGGATGATAAGGCGATTCCCTTTTTTCAGATCATGAAGAAGGCCAATCCCTTTCAATGGACCCCGGAGTGCCAAACTGCTTTCGAAGATTTCAAGGTATATCTCTCCTCCCCGCTCGTTCTCACCAAGGCAGATCCCGGGGAGAGATTATACATGTACTTGGCAGTAGCCGATCTGGCCGTAAGTTCCGTGCTGCTGAAGGAATCTGAAGGCGTTCAGCGGCCAATATACTTTGTGAGTAAGGCGCTGAACGGTCCCGAGACGAGGTACACACTGATGGAAAAGACGATCCTCGCCTTGATTGCATCCATCAAGCGCCTGGCACCATATTTCCAAGCACACCCGGTGACTATCTACACGACGCAGCCCCTCGCCACAGTCCTCAGGAACCCAATGGCAAGCGGAAGGATAACGAAGTGGTCCTTGATGATCGGCCAGTATGACGTGGACTTCAAGCCGAGGCCGACGATCAAAGGGCAGGCTCTGGCGGACTTCATTGCGGAATGCACCGCGCGCACCGAGGACGGAACCCATGACAACAATGACTTTGACGATTGGTGGGAGATGTACACCGATGGGGCCTCGAGTGCGCGGGGCTGCGGCGGAGGAGCAGTGATCACTTCCCCCGAAGGTTTCAAGGCCTACTACTCTATGAAATTTGAGTTCAAGGTCACCAACAACGAGGCTGAATACGAGGCGCTTATCGCAGGGCTGAAATGCGCGAAAGCCCTCGGAGCAGCTCGCCTGAAGGTGAGAATGGACAGCCAGCTGGTGGTAACCCAGATGAACGGCACTGCAGAAACCAGGGAAGAGAGAATGAAGGTCTACAATGTGACACCGCACCCGATTGTACTTGAAATTTAAAGAGGATATGAATTTGAATTTCCTGACAAACACAATTCATATAATTGATTGGCATATTTAATTAATGCATGATTAATTAAATTATATATCAGGTCCATTATATGAGAATGGGCTACCAAATATTCAGTTGGGTTATCATAATAATTATAGGGGCCCAATAGAATGCCAACCGAAGTTGATAAAAATATTTGGACAACCCGAGCGCTATTTTAACCCGGCCGGCCAGAAATAGCAGGAATAATTGGGAGAAAACTTCCTACACCCACTTGGGGTATCCTACACCCTAATTTGACTCAAATAATGAGGGAGGAGGGGCCACACATTTTGACTTGTGCGTGCAAAAGAAGGAGGGGAGCATCATGGAGACAAAGTCCACACACCCCATGTTGGACTTGTCTTGGGAGTGATTTGGTTGAGGATAGATATCCTCTCCTCTCATTTTGAGCCATACGAACCATCCAAGAGGAGGGAGAGCTCAGGGGAGAAACTCTCACAAAGCTCCAGCTTGAAGGAAGCACCAACAAAGAAAATTCAAGAAGAGAAGAGTGGTGTTTGAGGTAAGAACTCAACAATCAAGCTCCTAACTAGTATTTTCTTGTATGATTTTTAAGAAATCATATGATGGATTAAACATGAGTTTATACACGTTTAAAAGTGTATAATATTGATATAAAGTGGTGGTAATTAACTTAGAAGAGTTGGGGAATCGATAGGAGCCAAAACCATCGGAAACCGCCACTTGAAGGAGGCTGTTCGTAGCTGCAGACCACGAAAGCCGCCCGGCTTTTGGTGAAAGCCGCCCGGCTTTGGGCTACTGTCCAGGATTTTTGCCTTCAATCGGCCTAGAACGGGGATTGATCGAGGGGCTTAGCAAAGGCAACTATTGTAGCACATCACAAGGTGAGGATGGCTGACTATGTTGTTTATAATCTTTGGGTTAATTTCGTAAGATTACCTAAAGTAATTAAATGTTATTTTCATGGATTATTAATGATTAATAATGCCTAAATGAAAATATTGTTGTCAATGAATAAAGGAGCATAATATACAAATTTAAGGATAAATTGTGTATGATTATGTAATATGAGCATATTGGCTTGATGAAGGGATTAATTATAAATATTGTGTTGAAATATAACTATAACTTCATATAAGGATATATGAGTGATTAAAGGTTATATTTTGTATATTGATATGAACTATATTTTCAATGGAAAATTAGTTTGGAAATTGTCTATATGACTATGAATTGAAAATGAGTTTTGTTGGAATTTATCCGACTAGTATTATGATACTAGTCGGGGTTTTGGAATGAAATATGTTAGAATTGATCCAAGGTTTGGATTGTGAATTGTTGAGCCTTAAGTAGTCTTAAGAGATTCTAAGGTGGATAAGTGATGCTAGGGGTAGGCCTTAAGGGATACCCAAGATAAAGTGAATAATAAATTGATCCTAGGAATAGGATTGGCCTACGGGTGTATTCGGTAGTCTTTAAGGATTAGCCGATAGAGTATTGGTAATTAGTAAGGACCATGGTCCTTCCTGACTCTAGAGAGCGGGGTTGGATAGCATGGACTTACATCGTGATCACGGGTTAGGGTGGAATCCGAACCGGAGACCTTACGAGGCTCCCGACAGCGGTAACACATAAGATAGGACCCCGAATGGACCTTACCTTCCTACGGGATGATGGGTATGAGTTCAGGGGCGGGATGTTGGACTCCGGCCCGGGGACCCGGTGAGGCCTCGGAGAGCGGTGACAAGTCTCGTAAAGGATGATAAGACCTACGGGCGGTGTCGTGCTAACGACGGGTATAATGAAATATATGAAATGGGCCGTGTGCCGACAAATAAATAAATTTACTTATTATAGAGATAATAAGTGGGAAATATAAATTATTATTTATATTATGATATCACCCTATTTTGAGGGTCTTAGAAATTAAAACGTTGATTATACTTAGTATAGTTGTCATTGTACTTGTCAAATGCTTCCAAGTACTGACCTCCCCTTCACGGGGGAGGCCACCTCACAGTTTCAGGTAGGGAGTAAAGCTTGCTACCAGTGCCCGTTGCTTCGGGGAGATTCAGGAGGGAAGACGTGGTTCGTGCTTCCTCCGTTCTATTTTTTTTAAAAACATTAAATTAATGCTCATGGACATTTTGAATGATTATTGGGGCTTGTAAGCCCATGTTTGCCGGAGTGTGGCATAAACACTTGTACTAAACGTTTCCGCTGATTTAAATGATTATTTTACATTATGTTTGTTTATGGATGTACTATTGTGAATGATATTCAAGACGCCTAGTATAGTATGGATGAGTTGGACTGCGGTTGACTATTCGTACTGTACGGCGGGTTGTTGACGTGTCCGGTAGGTCCGGGGCGTGACAATTTAGTTGGTATCAGAGCTTTAGTCCGTAAACTTCATAATGAAGCTTCAAAATTCTTTTGAAAACGATTTTGAAAACCATGAGCATAAAGTTTTGTACTTATAGAACTTTTGGTACTTGAGTTGCAAGGTCTCTAATTGTTAAGATGGTACCCTTAACAATTGGTATGGCGGTGATTTGAGCCAAAAGATGTCTTTAAGTACCTATCCGTCACTTGACATTTGATACGAGTCTAATGGCTCAATCTAAACTTCTTTCAGAAATGGAGCCAATCGGAAGAATCACTAGGAGGAACCCGACGGGCCGAGTGCCGGGTGGATCCGAACGCGGCAGCCGGGGGTCCACTAGGGTGTCAAGGGGAAGGGGCCGTGGAGGCCAACAACAAACCGTGAGCGATGGCCACGTTGACACGGAGAGTGAGACTTATTGGTCCTACGAGGACTCAACCTATAGACCGGAAACCGAGCCGGTGGAGACCCCTTATGAAGGGGATGATGATGATGTTAGTGACGAGGAGCAAGATGGCTCCTTGGCAAGAATTGAGGCGCTGCTCCAACAATACCACCGAGAGCGCGAGGAGAGGAGGGAACGCCGAAGGCGCCGAGCGGGGCAACCTTCGGGTATGGCTTCAAGAGGAGGAAGCCACAATGCATCTAGAGTCCATGTGGAACCACATGGAGGTCGAAACGATGGAGGTCCAACCATAAGGATCTCCAAGTTCATCAAGGAAGCAAGAGACTTGGGGTGCAAACCCTTTGACGGAACCGGGGACATCCCGGTTGCCGCTCAATGGATCAAGAGGTTGAATGAAGCAGCCCTTGACATGCAAATCTGGCGAGGGCGTCGTTTGGGAGGACTTCCAACGGGAGTTCTTTGCCCAATATTACTCCGACTTCGAGGTGAACAAGAAGGTGAGGGAATATACCCTCCTAACTCAAGGGGGTAACATGACGGTGAAGGAACTTGAGTACAAGTTTCGGGACCTTGCCGACTACATACCGGAGTACGCTTGTGATGAGAACCGGATGGTGAACCACTTTTGGGATGCCCTAGACTTGGAGATACGTGATAGGGCAACACAATTGCCTAACATGACCTTCGCCCAAGTGGTAGACCAAGCCTTGAAGGGCGAAAAACAGTGGGAAGAGAGGAAGAAAAGAGACGCCGAGGAGGCGAAGAAAAGAAAATGGGAGAACCATGGCCCCCAAGGTTCTAACAAGAAGGGGAACCACGGGGGAGGTGGCTCATTCAAGGCCCCTGCACCACCATCGAGGGCGAATCAAGGCCCAAGCGGGCAAGCCTCGAGGTCTCAAAACTCGGGAGTACCAAGGTGCAGCAACTGCAAGAAGCTTCACCACGGCAAGTGTCGTGATCCCCCGAGATGCTACCAATGCGGGGAGGTCGGGCACATGAAGGTGAGTTGCCCACAGCTTGGGCGAGGTACAGGTTCCGGACCGAGTAGTGGAACCATGGTGAGCAGGAACCGAACGGGAGCACCGAGTGCAAGTATGGGGCACGGTGGAGCTAGCACAAGCAATGCACCGTCCGTTAATCAAGGGAGGACCCAAGCGAGGGTCTATGCGATTACGGAGGCCGATGCACGTGCTAACCCGGACTCCGTTGCGGGTAAATTCATGAACTTTTGATGTTAATTTCTTGTAAACCTTTTAAATGTTGAGATGTATAAGTTATATGGCCAACCCCGCCTGTTTAAAGTTCAAAGGAGTGGACAATATCTGCCTGGGGCGAATGCCGCCCGGCTTTGACGAACGTCGCCCGACGTTTGTCTATGATTTACTACATAAATCCTACGGCGACCATAAGCCGCCCGACGTTGACGAAAGCCGCCCGGCTTTCGTGCTTGATTTTTGGTTAAATCATTCGGCGTATAAAAACCGGCCGCGTTTCGTAAAAACCGGCCGGCTTGTGTTCAGGAATTCCGGTATGGGGCGCTGCTAACGAAAACCGGCCGGCATTCGTAAGAACCGGCCGGCTTTTATAATTAAAAAGTTGGAATTCTTTCGGCGACCGAAAACCGGCCGGCTTTGGCAAAAACCGGCCGGCTTACGTAACCAGCCATTCCGAGCCGAAGGCCAAGGTACGAAAACCGGCCGGCTTTCACGAAAAGCGGCCGGCTTTCCCTTATTGGTGCACGATGTTGATTTTTAGGTGGGAACCGGGATGGAATCGGGATGGGGCGTTAGATGATGATCATCCAAACCATAGCCGGGGTACTCTTTTACCTAAGAAATGAGTCTAATAAGTGGGGAGTGTGTCTTACATTGCTTATGAATGTAGGAACACTAAAGATTAACGGGAGAGACGCAAGAATCCTCATTGACACCGGGGCGCAACGATCATTCGTGAGTGAGGCGTTTGCCGGGGGATTCAAAGAACCACTTGTACCGATGACTCAAGCCCTATTGGTATCCACACCTCTAGGGGAAGACATCGAGAGAGATAGCCACTATCCATCGTGTGAGGTGGAAGTGGAGGGCCAAAACTTGACGTGTGATTTCGTACCGCTGAGTATGATTGAATTCGATGCAATCCTGGGGATGGATTGGCTTGAGAAGCATCATGCTAGGGTCGATTGCTACACAAAGATACTTGAACTCGAAGGCGATGAAGGGGTAACCTTACGCTTCGAGGGGGATCGGGCCAAATCCAATAGTTGTATCATATCCGCCGTAAGAGCT